CTGGAAATGCTGTGGCTCTGTTGTGCAATTTCGCATAGTACACTTCTTATTGGTGTATGCTACCGACCTCCTCACAGTGATCCATTTTTTTTTTACCTGTCTTAATGATGCCTTCAACAAATTGTAGCTGAAATATCCTCAGTTAAGCATCCTGCTTTTCGGGGATTTTAATTACCTCTCAATTGATTGGTCTATCCTATCTGATTCCACCAATCTTGATATGAGCTAAACTGCATGGAGGTTTTGTTAATTTCTGTCACAACTTCAGTCTTTCACAGCTTGTAACCAAACCCACCCGATCAACGTCCCATTCATCCGATATCCTTGTCCTCATTGTTGTCTTTGTCGTACGGTTGTCCTTGTCGTACATGTGTCGTTTTTCTTTTTGTTTCAGTTCGCACCTTTTAACCTTTAAATCGGTATGTACCAACTAGCCCTAGCCAAAGTTTTATTGCATCTTATTCTTGTTTCTGAGCCCGACACGCTAAGGTCAATGAACTACCTATGCGAAATCAGTGACAATAGGGTAATTAACTGCGCGTTTTTTGGTTTTTTTACATAATGATGCGAGATCAAAGCGAAAGAAAAGGAACGTAGAGATGATAAAGGTAATTATCACGGAAATAATGCCGAGTTAAATAAATTTTTGGTGGTTTTTGTTCGATTTTGATGGTCGACCTCTCTATGATAATTGGGTTGTGTTTAAATATAAAATGCGAGAATTAGCTGGCATCTTTATCCCGACCGTCGCGTCTACCGAAAACTCATCTGCTCCTTGGTTTAGTAACAGTTTGAAACATTTAAGCTAAACAAAAACGGCTCTTTCGTAAAGAGAAGAAAAATTTGCGAAACTCGGACTGGAACTGCTTTTACAATCCGGAAAAAACAATTCACATCCGCCATTCGGGCACAAAATTGTGTATTTTATAACACCGACCTTCCGTGCATACTTAAGAGTAATCCATAAAAGCTGTGGAGAGTTATTAATCCGAAGTATGATGCTGTTACTATACTCAAGAATGACGCCGACGCCTTCGTGCGTGATGTTGAATCTGCTAAGTTGCGTAACGATGTTTTTTGTTCAGCTTTTACGCAGAAAATTGGTGACACGTTTTTCACTGCTCCTCCTACTTCCCTTATTCCCATGGCTGGGCTTACTTTCGAAACTGCTGGCATTGCAAACATAAGAGAAAACCTTAGGCCTTCTTTATATGCAAGTATAGGTGAAATAAATGTAAAAATGTTTGAAGAATAGGAAGAAATTATCAAGCGTGATATTGGCTAAACTTTTTTCACAGTCCCTTTCAACTGGCATTTTGCCATACGATTTGAAAATTTTTCAAGTCGTTGTAAAACAAAAGGGCCGACAACAAAATGCCGCCGTATCACTGTTAATGCCAAGAGCTCGTGCAGCGAGACACGCTTTAAGGCACTTTGGAACAAAAAAGAAACAAAAGCGTTGTGTTCTGAACGCTTTTGTTCACGTCCCCCAAGGTAGGGTGCCTACATGTCTGTCTGTCTCAGGGTGAAGACATCCATTGTTGCCCTGGATGTGTCAGCGCGTGACGCTCTCGAGCGCTCGGTGCGTGACTTGGGCGGTAAAATGGCGTCTATGCGTTAGCCAAAGCTACGCGCTCGAGCTGACTGACACCGGATTGCGCGCACTTCAAAATGCATAAAAAACGACTGGGCGGAGAAATGGCTGAGATGTCACCACTCAAGCAAAAGCGCGCGTGTGTATGAAGGCACTCTACCCCAAGGTGCGTGAACGCGACGCCGATTCCCAACGACTTCGTCGTAACGTGTCGCGGCTATCGCTGTGACTTTGGACTATCAGAGGACCGCTCTTTCTTCTTTCCTTGATTGTAGTCTCTAGAGCTACGCCATAACGTTAACAACCCGTTTTATATGTAGGGCTTTGATAGCACCCGATGCCAATGCACTGGACGCGCTTTTTGAAATAAAAGAAAGAAGTAGCCAATAATAAAATGCCGCCTAGCACTGTCGATGCCAAAAGGCCGTGCCGTGAGACGCACTTTCACGCGCTCTGGAGCAAAAAAGAAAGAAAATTGTCGGAAACGAAATGTTCAGGTGTCTTTTGTTCCGAAAGCTTTTGTTCACGTACTCCACGGTGTGTGAACGCAACAAATGTTCAACAGAACGCCGATCCCCAACGACTTCGCCATGATGTGTCGCAGTTATCACTGTGACTGCACTGTGAGTTAACGCAGCACTGCTCATTTTTAAAACGTCTCAGTAAAAGCTGCCCTTACCGCCGAATTCATAGATCCCACTTCACTCGAACTTAACTTCCAACGCCCTTGAGTGGGTGTCATTACGTTTCATAAATCCCCCTTCACTCGAAACGCTCCCTCGCCTCGCACTTCACTCGGACTTTTCTCGAAAAAATTCAAGTGAGTGGTGGCACCGCCCTTCAACTACACTCGAGCCTCCCTTCATCGCAAAAGATGGCGGGTTACCCGGGTTATCGGAGTGATGCCGCTCGCAGGATCGCGTCTTTTGAGTTCGCTACTCGTGCGTGCGACCTTGTGTTCGGCGTTATGTACCCGCTCGGTCCGTCGGTGCCGCGGCGTAATCTATCGGACCGCCTGAACCCGATGGAGCTGTACAGTGACCGCCAGTTCCTCGCGAGATATCGCTTTACGAAGACGACGGTGAGGGAACTCCTGACGCTGCTGCCTCTCCAGCAAACCGGCGACAACCGAGGACTGCCGCTCACCCCCCTGCTCCAGTTGCTGGTCACCCTTCGCTTTTACGGCGCCGGGACCTTCCAGATGGTAGCGGGAGACCTGGTGCATGTCTCCCAGCCGACTGTCTGCCGCACAGTGAGGACGGTGACGACGCTCATCGCGAGGGTGCTCTTCCGAAGGCTGGTGCACTTCCCGGCTGCGTCGGAGTACCACGGCGTTATGCGCGACTTCTACGCAATGGGGCAGTTTCCTGGCGTCACGGGTTGCATCGACTGCACCCACGTGCGCATCAGAAGCCCCGGCGGAGATGATGCGGAAGTTTATCGCAATAGGAAAGGAGTCTTCTCCCTGAACGTCCAGGTGAGCTCATATTTCTTATACCCCCCTTATTGACGTAGCTTGCCTACTAAACTGCCAGGCTGGGAAGCATGGGTAATGCTCACGCAAAACGATTTCAGCTGTTCAACCCGATCATTGTAAAACATAGGGAAACCCTTTCATCAGCTGTGTTGTTGCTGCTTATTGTACACCTCTGGGCCCGCTCGAAATAGCCATTGCACAGCCTATACCTAGCTTGCATATGCGACGTTATTTACGGGCAACAGGCACGTAGCCAGCCCCGGGGGGGGGGGGGGGGGGCAGTTGTTTCACTTGTTTTCGAGCATGAGCCAACTGGCCCAAATTGCCGTATTAATGCAATGTTATATACCTGCAGGCCATCACCGGCCCACAGCTACAGTTCTTTGATGTTGTGGCAAGTTGGCCAGGATCTGTGCACGACAGCCGCATCTTTGATGGCAGTCGTGCGCGTGCCCTTTACGAGGAGAGCAGAGTGCCCGGCGTCCTGCTGGGGGATATGGGCTATGCCTGTCTCCCTTTCCTGATGACGCCGCTCGCAAACCCTGGAGCGGCAAATAGTCCCGGAGGGAGGTAAGCCAAATCATCGGCAGAAGTATAAGATTTGTTTTGGTACTGCACTGACAACATCACTAATGTCTGTAATAGCAGGCAGTCATTGCCGGTGACAAACAGTTCTTCAAGCGTTTCATGGACAGATCACTTCGCCGATATCCAATGTTCTTTCCTACCTTGCCGAACCCTTGGCGGTTTCGACAAGGCTTGGTGCAAGCTCGAACTTGAGATTATTTTAGCACCGAGATGTTTCAATGGCGCCCTGTTATGGTTTCCATCCGTGACGTCACGAGTGGGATTTGCCTCGACGTGACGTCACCAGTTGTTATCCTGTCTACTTACCATCAGGTGCGACGACGACTTCGGTGGTGTGTTTAAAAAGCACAGTGGAAGCTAGGAGTCATTGCAATCCGAAAGTAACACCGTCAAAGCTGACAATCTGACAATGCTCATATGCCCACGGTTTGGCCAATCGTCGAAAGCTGACCGCAGCGGCGCTTTTGGTCGCGCACATCGCTAATGAACCATTTCCCCTAGCAGAGCGGAGCAAAGCGAGGTGTGATCGTGTGGTCTGTTTAAGACATAGCTTGCCCCGCCGTCGGTGGTTCATTCACTAAAAAGTAAATTCAGTCTAATTTTTCTTTTTCAGCATTAGGCAAATGAAAAAAAAATCATAAGATTTGACGACCGCGACCACTAAATTCAATCCACCTAGCAGAAGAAAACGTTTGTCGACGAAATGTCGCAAGAACGAAAAAGTTTCCATGAGATGTCAACAGTATCATGAAGCCGTGCGTGCACGAAAAGTTGTCAATAAAACATATCTAACCTCGACAAAAGAATGTCAACCTGTTATTTCCATACTGAAAAAGAAAATACAGTGATTGCAAGTATGTTCCCAGATGCCTAAAAATCGATCACATGCCTTATAATTTGATTTAGGTACAACAAGGCCCAGATCCGAACGAGGAACTCCGTCGAGAGGGCCTTTGGGGTCTGGAAGAGACGATTTCCCTGTTTGGATATGCGGCTCCAGCACAAGACTCGCCACTCATGCAGCATCATCACCGCGTGTGCGGCTTTGCATAATCTGGGACGTGCAAGAAATGAGCCCCTACCTCCTCCTCCACCCCCGCCACCAAGTCCCAGGGCACGGAATGCCAGAAGGCGGCGGCAGCCACACCTGCCACCGATTCTCCCGGAGGACTCTCCTTCGGGTCTGCGTATCCGGCAGAACATCATTCTGCTGAGCTTTACGTGAGCTGCACGTAGGCTCAAGAGGCCCATCACACAGGCCATGAAGGTGAGGAGTCGTACTTCCAAGTGTGTGATACTTCAGTTTGACTTTAAAAGTGAACCATCAGTAAAGCAGGCATAGCAGTTTGAACATGATTTATTGTGCAGCCTTCTGGCTCAGCTCCTGCAGCAGTATGTTTTCCTTGATACACAGGAGCTTCATCTCCATTTCGTGAATGGCATTTCTTTTTTTCAGCTCGTCCTCGCGCAATTTAATTTCCATTTCATGCAGCGCAGCTCTCTTGCTGAGTGCGTCGCGGTGGTCCTGTTCAAGGAAGTTGCAGCGCAGGGCATGCTCCTGCTGGACAAAGGCCATCCTCATATCGTTTTCCTCTGCGAGGCTCCTTTCCAGCAGCGCCATACGTCCTCCGACCTGGCGGGCACCACTGCCCACAGCTGCTGCCGCACTACCACTGTTGCACGCTGCAGCAGCCGCAGGTGTAGGAGCTGGTGACCCTGCAGTAGATGTCTGGCTAATCAGGCAAGCTGCTGGGGCTGCTGCAGGTCTATCAGCGATGCAGGCAGCCGCTGGTGACAGTGGTGCACCGACGTCTGAGGCAGGCCCAGCTGGTGAACCGGGCTCCTCTGCAATTGAAAGAACACGTAGAAGTTATGAAGTGAACAATGGGACATACATGAAGAGTAGAAAGAGTTTTTATAAGTTTGAGATTGTATTTTTGTTTTTCATGCAGTTGCAATTTGAAGTATTTGATTTTTTTTTTCTGCTGCTGATCTAATGTGTAACAATGTTTTCATCCATTTTGAACCTGTGCCATAAACTAGGCCACTAGATCACTTAACCGTTTCCACCTTTTGGAGTGCTTGGTATAGATATTTCTTGGCAGAAATCATGCTATGATTATTTTAATACCCTGTGCTGTTTGTTTCTTTGTCAGGGGAGTATGGTCATTGTTAGTCTGCAGTAGTTGCCATGTACTGTTTTGAAGCTGTATGGAACCCAGCCCTGCAATGATATATGTTACCTTGTACATAAGTAATGTACATGCTGTTCGCACCATTTGTTCATTTTTACTAAATTATCTTGAAATTGAATGTTGTCATGCACACTTTTTACTTTGTTATTGACGACACAGTCATCTGCAACAAGATTAATATTAGATGAGATGGTTGCTGCAAGGTCATTCATGATTATTAAAAAACGTAGGGGTGCCAGTATGTACTACTGAGGAACACCAGGTGAAACATTTCTGAAGGCAGACTCATTATGATCTATAACCGTATCCATGCATATCCATGAGAAGATCAGTGGGTAAAGACGAAAAGGTACCAGTTTAGAAAGTACAGGTCAAGACATGGAAACGGTTCAAGCATTCTACCCAAGTCGGCATCAAGAGGGTCCTCCTCGCCGTCCAGCATCGGCTGCAGTAGTCGGAGAACTGGGAGGCTGCAGACCGGGGGCAGATAGGGTGCCCCATCGCTGTCCTCCATATTTTCCTGTCTGTTGAACACGTGTGAGGCCACCGCCCCAACCAGCACGGAGGTGGCGCTCATTGGCTTGCCAGGTGGCCCCCCTCCTAAAGGAGCAAACAGTAGTCAATCTAGGCACTCCAAGTTCTAATGTTATCTAAGATCTGTTTTCCTTTTTAAATATACCCCGATTTATAGGCATGCATTTGCTGATAGGGAATGTTCATCCCCTCTGCCCCATGCGTAATGAAATGAAATATTGAGCATCTGGGTGTTGTCAGTTGTGATCTACTGTACATGTCCGCCGCAAAAACTGCAAGTAGAATTACTGATTTAACGGTAGTATTATATCGTGCTGCGGTTCCGTTCATGCTGCTCCATTGTCAGGTTACTACGGTATTCAACTGACAGCATTAGGTTGCATAACCGACTTGTCTGCGCACGTTCACGCTCCATCCCCCATGACAGGTATTCCAGAAACAACAGTTCGAAACAAGGGCGAATTTGTGACCGACAGTTCGGGCTACAAATGTGACCCATCGCTCATTCCGAGGCACTTTCAGCGCGATGAGAAACCTGAACGAGAGACTTGCCTGTTTTGTGGACCTTGTTTTTTTCTTTGGAATGGTCCTTCTTCGCTTTGGCCTTCACATTTTCCCACCATTTTTTTAGCTGTTTCACGTCCCGTCGATATACACCGTGGTTGCAGTTATACTCGTTGCAGAGTCGAATCCAAGTTGCCTTTTTTTTGTTTAACGACGATTCGTCGGTCTTTTTACATTCGATGATTTTTTTGTACGTCATTACAAGTTCCATCAGTATTGCCTTTTCGATCTCTGTGAACCGCGCAGCGGGTGCCTTGGCCTTATCCATTACACGCTACGGAAATGAAAACTTTAAAAAAAAAAACCAGCAGGGCAAGTAAACACGAAAAGGCAACGGCGGTGGTGGCGTTGGAACAAGGATATCGGAAGGACTTGGAATGTATTCAGCATGGATATTGATGGCTATATTGCTGGCCAATTTAGTTTGAAAGAAGATGCACGAGCTACGTTCGTTTCTGAAATCGCAACATGTTTGTTATGTGCTAATATTTCTTTATAAACACAAATTATGTAAACACACTAAGAATTAACTTACTTTTGTGGTCTTACGCAAAGTATAAATATAAATTTCTTTTCTACTCTCGCTCCCGGACGCATCCCGTAGAAGGGCTCCCTTCACTTGCTCGAGTGAAAGCGAAGTGCCATTTCAGAATGGTAAACCTCACTTCAAGTGGAAGTGCCCCTTCAACCGCCCTTCTGTAAGTGAAGGGTCGCCCTTCACTTGGCATGACTCGGAGTGACATCTATGAATTCGGCGGTTAGAGTCTGACTACATCGTCAGTACGTTTTTTTTTCTTTTTTATATCCGCAAGTAATTTCTCCCACATTGATCGGTTGCTAATTTCGGTGCAATCACTAACTATACTGTGTTCATCCTTAAGCTAAGACTGCAGCCAAGCCTAGAAGCGCGGGCTAGTACGCACTCCTGGCTTTGAGACGTACGTTTCAAGCACGGTGCTCGTTGTGCGGAAGAACGCATCAAGACAGCGACTTCGAGGTCTCGTGCTTGTGGCATTGTCTCAGCTAAGGGAGAACGCGTTGCGTTGGAGCTAGTAGTGTCTATAGACGCTTCAAACACGCGCCCCACTAAGCCGCCATTGCCGACCTTCTCTTGTGTTACAGAGATACCAAGACACTGAATTGAGCATTGACAAGCCTCCTCAAAGGCCTATGCTGAGGAGAAGGACACAGTAGCGCCTAAATTGGCAATAACCTGTCCTGCTGTGGCAATGATGAAGTGAAGGGAACGGAATAAGAGGGAACAAAAACTGAAGGTCGGTTATGGCGGTGCCCATGCACAGCTGCCTGAAAGAGCCTATACAGGTTAACAAAGAAATCGTGCAGAGACACATGCAAGCTGAAGACCTACAGAATATCAGTCGAGTCACGTTGAGGAAATATTCTCGAACAACGTTACCTAAACCTTCAAGCGGCGAAACATAGCCCTTATTCAGGTGTCCTTCAATATATACTTTCTTTTTCGCGGTTCGTTCAAATTTACATTACGTCCCGTAATTCATCGCTGGCAGTTTCTAAGACCGTAACAAATTCGACAGACACAAACTTCATGTACCCACATTGAGACTTTTCATTCCTGCAGCGTTCGTTTTCTTCTAGTCTTTCAGCTCTCAGATTTGTTTAGAGCCACTGATGGAAGACGGCGGAAAACAAAATTTGTGTTTTTGTTTGCATGCCAACATGGTTTTAAAGGGGCGATTCGCCTAGGTTATCTCGATTCTGCAAAGAGTTCATGCAGCGCCTTCCTTACCGGCGTTGACGCAGCCCGTCGAGAGGCAGAACTTGGCGCTGTCTCCTCCAACCCCTGCACTTCCGATGAGTTGGTTCCCGTTCCAGAAAAAGAGAACGTAGCACATGTACACACCTTACATTAGACACGCAGCCATACGAAACACTGTTACCATAGAGGAAGGCGAAGTTGCTTTAGTTAGAGACAACAGACAAAGAAAATAATAAAATCGTAGCCTACTATATAAGGGCCTTTAATTCGTTTGTTTTACCTCTCTGAAGTCGTTTAAAGCTGTTTGCTTACCAACTATACTGCTACCAGTCTGTAGACTAGTCTCGAAACACCTTTACAACTAACATATCTTTGTGAAGCCCTTATAATATAGTTCTTTTCGTCGATCTCAGGTACAAGTAGCTGAATGTACTCGCAGGAATTCCCAGAGGTATACTCTCCCAACTATACACTGAAAACCATGGTTATTTATTGTTTCCTAGGTTCAATGACTAACAACGATAAAGAAAGGTGTAAAAAATGTTACATAGAGTGCGTCATAGGACAACATACATAACTTTTCTTAATGTATACCCTTCACGCTGTAAGTAACAAATTGCTTCTTTCGTAACAATGTTGTCACGTTTCTTGAACTTGCTGAACGAGATATTCTTCGTTCCGTGTGATTTGAGAACTACGTTCGCGAAAATTCTGCAGGGACACACAAATCACAGTCTGAGTGCACTTGTACTCCAGCTGTTAGTTTATCATGCAGGCATCGCGACACAGTATCCCGACCGCGCTCAGAGTAGTGGAATCGTACATTTCTCAATACGAGTATACGAGTTCTGTTTCCTTTTTTTAAATTCGAATGAACTAAATAAAAAAACAAAAGGCTGAAAGTATCTTTAACGTGCGAAGTCAATATGTATACCATAACGTTCAAAGCGATAACTGATTTCAGCAAATTATGCGGGGGCTTTTACTTGATGAAGTAACCCCGTTAGAGTTCGTTTCACCTAAAAGGGTCTCTCCAGCATTAAAATAAACATTCGTAGGTGTTCACCGCTCCCGAAATTTTACGTACCTTCAATTACGCTGCTAATTTATTAAACAAAAATAACTAAAATTTTATGAAAAAAAATAATTCGAGAAGCTCAGACTGATACCCACATTTTCGTTGCGTCACTTCACAAAACCTGTGGCGTAACAAAATACCACAGCAACTAATAGTGTGAAGTACCCCTTCTTACCAACATTTAGCCGCTCTCCCAAGACACCCGAGATCTCTGTCGTACCAGAGCCTCCTATATAAGCTTATATCGTGGCTCTAGTCGGATGGGCTGTGAGAGCATCATAACACAAACAAGATTGTCTCTGGCTATCTAGTGATTCACTGCCGAGACTGTGGTCGCGATCCCCAGTTCATAACATGCACTGTACTGGTACGGGGTGACGACCCTTTAATAAGGTAAATTATTGAGACAGGGGATCGTGCGACTTAAGGAAAGTGTATCAGCTAGCGCCACGTCCCCTCCTTTATACGCCAGATAATTATATTACTTAGGGAAGTAGTCAATCTGATGAACCCAAATTTCCAGAGTATTTTTTTTTTTTTTTTTTTTTTTAGATGCGTTGAGATGCGGTCTACGCGAAGACAACAGGGCGGACCGAGAAGAGTGGAGGACGAAGAGTCCTAAGGAGACGGCATCCTGATCTTGTTACGTCATGAATCGTTTATCGAGTGAATTGATCCGGGAATTTTCAGAGGCGTTCCATAAGCTTTATTCATTAAAGGACGAGCTAAAATTTCGTGGAGACTTCCATGAGGAGGTCCTCTGGTACAAGGTTTACAGAGCACTAACGACCCCATTTTAGGCTGGAGAGTTCCTTTAAGTCCGAATGCAGCCGATGCTGAGAGTTGATGGGACCAATGAGACAGCGTAACAATCTCACCATCATGGTGTTCGTCATGTTTCTGTACGTGTTCTATCATCGCTGAACGAATCAAAAACAAAAAGGCATAGCGACTTGCGGTTTGACGCTGCCTGATTGGTCCCATTAGCACATATAAGTTGTGTTTCCAAATCTTACTCGAATAGATCCGAGTTACTCCGATGGATCATGTCACGTGACAAGGCAGAAAAAGCAACTCTGGACGCGGATAGTTTTTCAAACGTCAAGTTACCAAACCCTTACCCTCGAGCAAGATCGAGTAAATTTTGGAACACGAGCATAGAGTCGGCGGTGTCTGGACTTGAGCTGAAACAATGCGTAGACCTTTTCAGTAATGGCCTTTTGCTCACAGCCATCTTTGTTGGCTGAGCTGTGGAACGCCTTCTGAGCATCTTCAGTAGCTCCCTCCTGCGGATTATCACACGACGCGCATGCGTCGAAAACCTAGTGACTCAGCGCTTTCCATCTGGGTGATAAGCGTGCTCTGTATAGGACGTGCTGTGCACTCAAAACAAGACCGTGATCTCACGTGGCTCCAGAGCACGAAGACAGACAGTCACAACGGACAGTAGGAGGATCCCAGAGAACAACAAAGCTGAGAATACGATTAGGTCGGAAGGAGGGGATCTGCGCAGCTATAGGTACCACAGTCAAATAATACCCAGTGGTTCCGCTTAAGGCCGCTTCCGGTAATCGGGGGTACACAGCGGCCCTCAAGCCGGATGGCGACCACTGAATGTGTAAAACTAAGTAAAAAAGTGAAAGCCGTTTACAACTCCCTGTAACACCGAATTAGAGCGCAGCTCTTGAGGAGGAGGAGGGAAGGGTACTGGGGGGGTGAAGTGACCTGGGGGGGGGGGTCGCGTGACCTTGGGGGGTCACGTGACGATGCCGATGATGTCATCAGTGACGTCACTGATGACGTCATCAGTGACGATGACGATGCGGACTCCGATGACGTCATCAGCGATGATGACGATGACGATGCGGATGTCGGTGACGTCATCAGTGACGTCACTGATGACGTCATCTGTGATGATGATGATGACGATGCGGATCCCCCCCGAAGCCACGTGACACCCCCAGGTCACGTGACCACCCTCAGGGTCACGTGACCCCCGCCGAGGTCACGTGACCTCCCCGATGACGTCAACGTCACTGATGACGTCGCCGGCATCCGCATCGTCATCGTCATCATCACTGATGACGTCATCAGTGACGTCACTGATGACGTCACCGGCATCCGCATCGTCATCGTCATCATCAGTGATGACGTCATCAGTGATGATGACGATGCGGATGCCGATGACGTCATCAGTGACGATGACGTCATCGGGGAGGTCATGTGACCTCGGCGGAGGTCACGTGTCTTCGGGGGGGTCACGTGACCTCGGAGGAGGGGGTCACGTGACCTCGGGGGGGGGGGGGGGGGTCACGTGACTTCAGGGGGTCACGTGACCTCTGGGGGTCACGTGACCTTGGGGTGACCTTGGGGGTCACGTGACCTTGAAATGACCTTGGGGGCCACGTGACCTTGGGATGACCTTGGTTACGCCGACGCCGCTCAAGTTGGGAACGGGCCCCTAAGAGCTGCGCTCTAAAAATGAGACGTTTACAACGCCCTGTAACGCCGAATCGGAGCGCAGCTCTTGAAGAGAAGGAGGGAAGTGTGCTGAGGGGAGGGTATACCCCTCCTCCCCTTCCCCTCCTCCTCCTCCTCCTCCCCGTGTGGTGAATTGTGGGTCATTTCCCATAATGCACCGCGCGGTTACGCTGACGGCGACGGCGACGCCGCTCAAGGCGGAAACGGGCGCCTAAGAGCTGCGCTCTAAAACAAAAACAAGGCAAAAATAATTGCAATAAAACAAATTGAGTGCGTTAATGGTAATATTTTTAGAAAACATGATAAGCCCAGTTATAATGGTATACCAATATCGAAAGAAAAATCGAGCAGTGACCGGTAGCTTTAGAAGTTAATTGCACTAAACGAATCCATACTTTTAAACTTCGCCTGTCGCGTTGTCGGCGTTGTCGGTGTTGCTGTTTTGTGAATGCCTCTTTTCAAGTTTATTTCCCCGGTTGGATCCTCGCTCAGCGTTTTAATGTCACGTCTGTTGCCGAATCACGCTATGAATGATTTATGAATGGGCCTCCTCGAACAAAAAGCCAAAAAGCCGGGGACTCACTTGGCCGTACGGGATTCCAGGATTTCTCTTTAAGTGCGTTATGCCCGAGTCCCATTAGAGCAAAAAAAAGAGAAACAGCCGGCAGCGACGAGCCTCAAACAAGATTCTTTCGCGATTTGGCAGGCTTTGTAGAATAAAGGGGGTTGTGCGCAAGCACGAGCATCATGCACGGGGGAGTATTTTTGGCAGGCCTGCATTCACTCGTGGTTACTTCACACGAGCACCGAATGACTAAAAGTCTGCCAAAGGTACCATCGCCATCATTCTGAATATGTTGGAGGCTTGTCGGTGTCAGTTGTTTCTGTTTGCCCATCTAGTAGGATTGTGGTGTTACCGGTGTGTGCAAACTTTTCTTAAAGGAATACTGAACCAAGGAATTTACTGTCCATAATAAGTGACGCACGTTTTTTACATGAGCCAGCAGCCGCCGGTGTGCACGAGCGCACGCAACAAAAATGACGTCAAAGACCTCCATTCGCGCTTAAGAGGACAGTGAAATTACTGGGCCTCGGGGCAAAAGAGAATAAAGACAAGTTTTTCATCTACACAGTGGTGTCTGGTGTAAAAGGTAAGCGATTAATTGGTCTAACCTTTGGCCCAAAGCCCATGCATTTCACTGTCCTCTTAAGTGCGAATGGAGGTCTTTGACGCCATTTTCGTTGCGTGTGCTCGCGCACACTGGTGGCTACTGGCTCGTGGAAAGAACGTGTGCCACTTAAAATGGGCATTTAATTATTTGGTTCAGTATCCCTTTAAAGTGTTTGTGCTATCTTCCGCGTCAGGCAGGACACGATCGTCGTTTCTCGAACGCAATGTATGTGAGCCGGGTAATTTCTTAGGCATATGTACATAAACGTGACTTTTTTTTTTAGTACTAGTAATAGTTTATTTTCGCTTCATTTTACAAACATATAAATCCGCCGCACGAAAGCACTTTTGGGCTTGTGTGCGAGTACGGGCAGTACACCTGTAACAAGTATGTAGCGCCCCCCTC